ATTTTTTAATCCTCACCTGAAAATATATTTTTATTGATTTTAGAGAGAAAAATTGATAGGTTGCTTCCCATATGCACTCCAACCAGGGGATGAACCTGCAACCTATTTATGTGCCCTGACCAGGAATCGAACCCACAAAATTTGGGTGTGTGGGACATCACTCCAACCAACTGAGCCACATGGCCAGGGCAAGTTTTAGATGTTAACCATTTTCAGATTTATCATTGGTGAATATGTTCTCCCATTCAGCAGGTTGTCTTTTCATTTTGTTAATCATTTCCTTTGCTGTGCAAAAACATTTTAGTTTGATGTCGTGCCATTTGTTTATTTTTTTCTCATTTCCCTTGCCTGAGGAAATACATCAGAAAAAATATTGCTAAGTTTTCTTCTAGGATTTATATGGTCTTGAGTCTTTAAGTCTATAATCCATTTTGAGTTTATTCTTGTGTATGGTGTAAGAAGGTGATCTAGTTTCATTTCTTTACATTTATCTGTCCAATTTTCCCAACACCATTTAGTGAATAGACTATCTTTACTCCATTGTATGTTTTTTACTCCTTTGTCAAGTATCAAATGACCATACAGGCCTGGGTTGATTTCTGGGCTCCCTTTTCTGTTCCACTGATCTATATGTGTTTTTATGCCAGTACCATGCTGTGTTGATTACTGTTGCCTTGTAGTATAGTTTGATATCAGTGGTGGGGGAATGTGGTGGGTGATGGAGATCTGGGTTCCTGATGGAGATATGGGTTCCTGATGGAGATATGGGTTCCTGATGGAGATCTGGCTGCCTCCTGGTTCCATATGGCTGCTGGAGCTGCTGTGCTGTAGGTACATTCCAGCTGCAGCTATGAGGCTCTTGAGGCTCTGCCACAGTCAGTCAGGAGAGGGAGCTGGATTCTCAGGTGCCAAGACTGCTTCTTCTCCACTCTTACTCTCCACCAGACAGTAGTGTGGGACTGCACCCTGGCACCTCTACTGCTACTGCATTTACTGGGGTGGTGGGCTCAGCCATGATGGCAGGTACTGTCTTTGTCTTCCCTTTTGTCTCCCTTAGGTGTTCCAATACACCCACTTCAGATGTACCAATGTGTGGCTCCCTCAATTATGCTAGTGTGTTGAGCAGAGGAATCTTTGTTGGATTGTGGATATATGATTAGTTGTAGATTTAAAGTTTGTTACAAAGAGTTTTCTCATTTCACTGTGATGCTCTTGTCACTCTAGATTTTGCTTTTTAACACAGATTGAATGTCTTCCTCTTATTAATACATGCTTAGGTAAGTGTCTAACAGTTTCTCTTCCTGGAGGCAATCAGTGTTATCAATCTTTTGTATATCCTTCCAGAGATAATTATTGCATATATATGTAAACATGGTTTTATCCCATAGCAAAAATTATAGTATAATATACATACTTTTTACCGTACTTTTTTCCTTAACAATATATCTTATCTGTCATTCCATACAAGTCTACTGTATTCTTTCTATGAGTTGTATAGTATTCAATGATATGACTGTGCCATAATTTATTCTATCAGTCCCTTATAGGTAGACATTTAAAATTTAAAAGTCAGTTATTATTACATGTTGTAATAAACTCCCTATATATAAGCCTTCCCTGAATGTACATTCCTAGAAATTGAGTTGCTTAGTCAAAGAAGATGTATATATATTTTTCCATTTTATTTTATTTATTTTTAAATCTTTATTGTTGAAAGTATTACATATGTCTCCCTTTTCTCTCCCCATTGAATTCTTCTAGCCGGCCCATACCTCCCACCCCAGGCCTTTACCACCCTATTGTCGGTGACCATGGGTTATGCATATATGCATACTAGTTCTTTGGTTGATCTCTTCCCAACCACCCAATCTCCCCTGCCTTCCCTCTGAGGTTCGAGATGTATATTTAAAATTAGTATTTTAGTATTGAAATTTCTCTCATTTATGTGTGTTGTAATTAATCTACATTCTCTCCTTACTGTTTGAATTTTATTTTATATATTTTAACAGCTAAATTGAGGTATAATTCAAAACCACACAGTTCATCTATTTTAAATATACATTTCAGTGGTTTTTAATATATTCACAGGGTTGTGCATCCATCACCACAGTTAATTCTAGAACATTTTTATTATCCCCAAATATGGCTGTTACCCTCCAATCTTCTTTTCTCACCCTTTATCTAGGAAGCTACTAAGCTACTTTCTGTCTGTATAGATTTGTTTATTCTAGACATTTATCAAAAATGAAATCGTACAATATGTGGGATTTTGTGACATTTATTTTAATGTTTTATTAATTTGTTTTTCTTTTTGCTATATGTTTTATATCCCTTTTCCAGTTTTGAGGGATATATGTTTATTTTATGTGTGTTGAGGAAAACAATACACACACACAAAGAGTTGTGTGTGAATTGATTTAGTGGTTACTTTCAGATTTTTCTAAACCAATCTTTAATTCCTACTTATTTAATTGTCAGAGTTAAGTCTGAAATGAATGGAATATTTTGGGTCTGATGTTTGCTTACTTTTTAACTTCATTTTAAGATGTGATGTTTAGCATACTTTCATCCTATACTGTTACTCCTATTAAGCCTTTTATTGGTATACTAGTAATTCTGAGCTGTTATGTCAGTGTTAATTTTGTAAGAGCTTTTCAACTTAGAAACTGCCCTTGATTTTTGCATAATTTTTAGCTTGTCTACTTAAATTAAAATATATTAATTTGAATAAATATTAAAAGTTATCTCTACATTTATTGTTTTCAATGTGCACTATTCATGCTTTTATACTAAGACCTCCCTTAAGATTCTTTTAATTTATGATAGTTCCCCTTCTCTCTCCCTCCCCGCCCCCCATGCTATTGATAATTGAAGAAACTAGATCATTTGTCTTACAGAATTTTCCACATTCTGTATTTGGCTGATAGCTCTTAACTTCAGACTTTTTAAAATGGGGGCAGTGGCTTAAGAAGGCAATAATGCTGCAAATCACCTATTTCCCTTGATATACACCCTTATTTCCAGAGCATGTTATTATCATGATCAAAGTAATCTTCTTTACAGTTGTGATAATGTTGATGAGTCTTGAATCATGATTTGGCTTTGCTCTTTGTTGTCTCCCAAAAGTACTTATTCTAGAGTTTGGCAGAGGAATCAAGTCCAATCTAAAGATATTATTTGAACTATCATGATGGTCATTGTAACAATTTTAGTATATGATTAGGGCTTTAGTTTCATAATTCTATTCCGCTCCATCAAATACAAATGTGACTGCTCTGTTCCTAGTCCTAAAGCTAATGAAGGATTATTTTTCATTATCTTGTTCTACTCCTAAGAATCATTTATATAGAAGCAGAGGCTAATTATTATTGACTCATCTGCTTTATTTTGCTAGGGAAAGACAAGTGAATACCTACATACATATATACATACATACATATATACTCACCACCTAGATTTGATAGTTATCATTTTCTATATTTATTTTATCATCCATGTATCCACCTATCTATCCATATTACTTTTTTTGATGCATTTTAAAGTAAATTGCAGATGTCAGCACACTTTACCTCTTAAAACTTCAATATGCATATCATGAACATTATATTATTTTATAATAATTTGTATTTTTTGAGGTATAATTTCATACATAGAAGTCACAAATTTAATTGAACCATTGATGAATTTTGATGTAATCCAAACCTCTATCAAAATATAGAATATGCCCTGGCTGGTTTGGCTCAGTAGATAGAGTGTCAGCCTGCAGACGGAAGGGCCCCGGGTTCGATTCCCGTCGGGGGCACATGCTCAAGTTGTGGGCTGGATCTCCCGTAGGGAGCATGCAGGAGGCAGTCGATCAGTGATTCTCTCTCATCATTGATGTTTCTATCTCTCTCTCCCTCTCCCTTCCTCTCAGAAATCAATAAAAATATTTTAAAAAATATATATAGAATATTACTTCACTCAGTAAAGTTCCTTCATATCCTTTCCCAGTCAGTGCTGCTCAGGTCAAACACTGATCTGAATTTTTTCATCATATTTTAGTTTTACTTGTTCAAAATTCAATATGAATGTAATTATACTATATGCACTCTTTTGCGTATTTTTTTATTTAGCGTAATGTTTTTGAGAATCATCCATGTTGTTACATCTATCAGTAGTTTTTAATTGTTTAGTAGTATTCCATTTTATTAGTATATGACAGTTTTTTTTATTCTTTTGTTGTTGGACATCTTGGCTGTTTCTAGTTTGTTGTATATAAAGTTGTTAGGGCCTTACTTATACTAATTACTAGAGGCCTGGAGCACGAATTCGTGCACCAGTAGGGTGCCTCGCCCTGGCCTGTGGGATCGGGCCAAAACGGGCTCTCCAACATCCCCCGAGGCGTTCCAGATTGCAAGAGGGTGCAGGCCAGGCCGAGGGATCACCCATTGATGCATGATCAGGGCTGGGGAGGGACGTGGGAGGGCTCCAGGGGGTGTCTGGCCCATCTTGCTCAGTCCCAATCAGCCAGACCCCAGCAGCAAGCTAACCTACCAGTTGGAGCATCTGACCCCTGGTGGTCAGTGCATGTCATAGCGACTGGTGGACGGGCTGACTGACCCCTGGTGTTCAGTGTACGTCATAGCAAGCAGTTGGGCAGCCTTAGCATATCATTAGCATATTATGCTTTGGTTGAACAGCTGACCGGTCAACTGGACACTTAGCATATTAGGCTTTCATTATATAGGATTATATTGTACATATGTTCTTTATTTTCTTGGGTACATACATATGAGTGGAGTTTCTAGGTGATAGGACAAATATATATTTAGTTTCATAAGAAATTGCAAGACATTTTTCCAAAATGGTTGTGTCATTTTATGCTCCTACCAAGATTTCATGATAGGTGTTTTTTTAATTGAAAAGAAAATATTATTTTAATCACCCTAGTGGTTGGATAGTGGTATTTGTGATTTTCATTTTCCTGATGACTATTTTTACTATTTCCTCTCTTTCAGACAGTTCGGCATGGTTTTCCTTATCAGCCCACAGCATTAGCTTTTGATCCAGTTCAGAAAATCTTGGCTATTGGGACGAGAACAGGTGCTATACGAATGTATCCTTAAGTTTTTGTTCACTACTTGTTATATTAACAATTACATTTCCTTAAGTATTCAGGTGAGTGAATATATTTGTAACCACATAAAAATTATTGTTTCTTTAGAACTAACAATTGTGAAAACCAGCATTGTCAGATATTTTGGCCTATTTTTTTTTTGTTTAATATTCTTACTAGAGGCCCAGTGCACGGATTCGTGCACCGGTGGGGTCCCTTGGCCTGGCCTGCACCCTCTCGCAATCCGGGACTCCTTGGGGGATGTCGGAGGCCTGGTGGCATGAATTCGCCCAATCATACATACATATGAGTGGAGTTTCTAGGTGATAGGACAAATATATATTTAGTTTCATAAGAAATTGCAAGACATTTTTCCAAAATGGTTGTGTCATTTTATACTCCTACCAAGATTTCGTGATAGGTTTTTTTTCATTGAAAAAATATTATTTTAATCATCCTAGTGGTTGGATAGTGGTATTTGTGATTTTCATTTTCCTGATGACTATTTTTACTATTTCCTCTCTTTCAGACAGTTTGGCATGGTTTTCCTTATCAGCCCACAGTATTAGCTTTTGATCCAGTTCAGAAAATCCAGGCCCAGGGACCCCACTGGTGCACGAATCTGTGCACCGGGCCGATTTCGGCCCGATCTACACAGGCCAGGGTGAGGGACCTCACGGTGCACATATTCGTGCACCAGGCCTCTAGTATACATATAAGATTTTTGCTTAATCTCTTCCTGCCCTCCCCCCTTTCCTCTGAGATTCATCAGTCTGTTCCATGTTTCCATGCCTGTGCGTTGAGCTTCTGCCCCCTGGTGGTCAGGGCGCATCATAGCTACCAGTCAAACGGTCACTTAGGCTTTTATATATATAGACTAGAGTCCCAATGCACAAAATCCATGCAAGAGTAGGCCTTCCCTCCCCTGGCTGCCAGCACCAGGCTTCCCTCTGGCACCCAGGACACGGGCTTCCCTCACAGCCCTGGCTTCATCTGGGAGGTTGTTCAGAAGGACGTCTGGTCTAATTAGCATATTACACTATTATTAATATAGATTGCTTTCAGAGAGGAAGGGAGAGGGAGAGAGAGAGAAACATGATGAGAGTCATCGATTGGCTCCCTCTTGCACACCCCCTACTACCTAGCCCACAACCTAGGCATGTCCCCTTAACCAGAATCGAACCTGGGACCCTTCACTCTACAGGCCGATACTCTATTCACTGAGCCAAACTGGCTAGGGCTGGCCTATCTTTAATGTCTGTGATATGAGTATTTATATCCCTTCTTTAATTCCTGATATTGGTAATTAGTGTCTTTTCTCCTAATCAGTGTGGCTAGAAGCTTATCAATTGTATTGGTTTTCAAAAGACCCAACTTTTGGTCTGATTGCTTTTCTGTATTGTTTTTCTATATTCTGTTTCATTGATTTTACTTTGATTTTTAAAATTTCCTTATTTTGCTTAACTTTGGGTTTAATTTTATCTTTTTCTGGTTTCTTAAAGTGGAAATTGAGGTCACTGATTTGAGAACTTTTCTTCTTTTCTAAAATATGCTTTTAGTACTGTATATTTCTTCCCAAATATTTATTTAGTGCCATCCCATTTTTTAAAATAACCTTTTTATTTTGACATAGTTGCAGGTTTAATTGTAGCTATGAGAAATAATACAGAGAAATCCCATGTATTCTTTACCCAACTTCTAATAGTAACATCTTATTAAACTATAGTGTAATATTACAACAAAGTTATTGATATTGATACACTCAAGGTACAGACCATTTTTATCATCACAGTGATTTCTCATGTTGCCTTTTTGTTGATGTTGTTTTTAATCCTCATCTGAGGATATTATTTCCATTGATTTTTAGAGAGAATGGAAGGAAGGAAGAGAGACAGAGGGAGAGAGAAACATAGATGTGAGAGAGATACATGGATTGGTTGCCTCCCACATGCACTCCGACTTGGGCCACGGGTTAGCCTGCAGCTAAGGTACATGCCCTTGACTGGAATCGAACCCACAACCCTCAGTCTGAGGGCCCATGCTCTAACCAGTGAGAAAAATCGGCCAGGGCTTCATGGTGCCCTTTTTAAAAAATATGTTTTTATTGATTTCAGAGAGGAGGGGAGAGAGAGAGAAACATCAATGATGAGAGAGAATCATTGATTGGCTGCCTCCTGTACACACCCCACTGACAGCCCAGGCATGTGCCCTAACCAGGAATTGAACCATGACTTCCTGGTTTATAGGTCGACGCCCAACCACTGAGCGCATGCCAGTCAGGCTTATGTTGCCCTTTTATTATAGTCATACCCTAGCTCTCCAATTCCCCCACCCCCATACATGACTCCTGACAGTCACTAATTTCTTTATTTGTCTGTTAATTCTATCAAATTCTGAGAGTAGAGTAAATTTGATTCTCCAACTCTGTTTCTGTATATATTTATTTTTCTTTCCAGCTCTATTAGTTTTGCTTTGTTTTTCAGGGCTCTGCAGTTTGGTGTGCACATATGTATGACTAGAGGCCCAGAGCACAAATTCATGCACAGGTGGGGTCTAGCTGGCCCGGCCCCAATCGGGTGGATCGGGGCCAGGCCTGTCGGGAGGAGGAGACAGCAGGAGGTTGGCCAGCTGGCCTGCCCCGATTGGGGCCTGATCAGGGCTGGGCCGGCAAGGGGAAGGGGACGCTGGGGGTTGGCCAGCCGGCTCTGCTCCTGACTGGAGTGGGGGGCCGATTAGGGGCAGAGCTGGCTATGAGTAGGGGGCCGCGGGCCAATCGGGTGGTGGGGGCCCATCGGTGATAGGACCGGCCGGGGGGAGGGGCTGCAGGTAGTTGGCTGGCTGACCCCGCCCCCCCCATTTGGGGAAGGGGACAATCAGGGGTAGGCTGGCCAGGGCAAGGGGCCACAGGGAGGTTGGCTGGCCCCACCCTCGATCAGGGTAGGGGAAGCTGATCAGGGATGGGGTGGGCCAGGGGGAGGGGCTGTGGGAGATTGGCCGCTGGCCCCACTGCCGATCGGGCCGGTTCACTGGCCACAGTGGGCGTCATAGTGACTGGTCATTATGGTCGTTCCGGCGTTCTGGTTGCTGGCTTTTTATATACATAGATTGTCATGTCTTCCTGGTAGATTGATTCCTTTATCATTATATAACATCTTTATTTGTCTCTAGCAACTTTCTTTGCTCTGAAATCAACTTTATTTGATATTAATATAGCACCTCCTGCTTTTTAAAAAATAATGTTTGCATGATGTATCTATTTTAATTCTTTTATGTTAAACTTACTATGGCATTGTATGTGAAGTGAGTTTATTATAGACAATATGGATCATTTTTTCTGTTTTATTCTTTTTGAGGTATAATTAACATATAATGCTGTGTTTGTTTCAGGTGTACAATATAATGATTCAATGTTTGTGTATATGTTGAAATGATCACCACAATAAGTCTAGTTAACAGGCATTACCACACATAGTCACAACATTTTTCTTTTGTGTTTTCTACTATCTTAGTAACTTTCAAATATACAGTACAGTATTATTAACTATAGTTACCATGCTGTGCATTACATCTCCAGATTTTATTTATTTTATAACTGGAAATTTATACCTTTTGACCATCTTACCAATTTGGCCCACTTCTCAACCCTAATTCTTGCAACAACCCATTTGTACTCTGTATCTATAATTTTCGTGTTTTGGGTTGTCTATTCGTTCTTTTGTAGATTCTACACATGTGAGATAATACAGTATTTGTCTTTCTCTGTCTGACCTATTTCACTCAGCAAGATGCCTTCCGTGTCCATCCATGTTGTCACAAATATTGTCCTTCTGCCCTAACCAGTTTGGCTCAGTGGATAGAGTGTCGGCCTGCGGACTGAAAGGTACCAGGTTCAATTCCGGTCAAGGGCATGTACCTTGGTTGAGGGCACATCTCCAGTAGGGAGGTGTGCAGGAGGCAGCTGATCGATGTTTCTCTCTCATGGATGTTTCTAACTCTCTATTCTTCTCCCTTCCTCTCTGTAAAAAATCAATAAAATATATTTTAAAAAAACACAAAAAACAAAAAAAACCCCCAAATATTGTCCTTCTTTTTAATGGCTGAATTATATTCCATTGTAGGTATATGTACCACATTTTCTTGATTCATTCATTCATCAGTGAATACTTTAGTTGTTTCCATATCTCAGCTATTGTAAATAATGATGAATTGAATATGGGGATGCATGTATCTCTTCAAGAGAGTGATTTCATTTTCTTTCTGGGACTGCCCCAGGGGTTGGGGCTATGTATAGGGCCCTTTCAGGATCTCTGGGGGCACAGACAGAAATTTATCCTGTTTGGTGCCTGTGCCAGCAGGCCTGCTTGACACAGAAGCTCAACATAGGCTGAGGCAGGGGGCTAATGAGTTACAGAGCCATTTCAGAATCGAATCTATAATCTGATCAAATTTGGTAGCCTTACCTCTGGGCAGTGGTTCTCAACCTTCCTAATGTCGTGACCCTTTAATACAGTTCCTCATGTTGTGGTGACCCCCAACCTTAAAATTATTTTCGTGGCTACTTCATAACTGTAATTTTGCTACTGTTATGAATTGTAATGTAAATATCTGATATGCAGGATGTATTTAGGCGACCCCTGTGAAAGAGTCATTCGACCCCCAAAGGGGTCGCGACCCACAGGTTGAGAACCGCTGCTCTAGGGGCTTCCACACTGCAGCTGAGACAGGCTGGAGCTGGTTCAAAGGTTCATGGAATTTGGCTGGTAGTTGCCCTTTTATTATCCCCTCCTCTCTGAAATCAGGTATTCAACTACCTGAATTTGTTTGTGGAACCTTAGACAAATGTTTTCTTTTACTTCTGAGTTCACAACCAGGACCAAGGTCTCTATGCCTATTTCCTGATCCATTCATGGGCTTGACTCCTCTGGGTCCCTTGGTGTATGGTGTTTGCTGGTGACAAATCCAAATCCAAACTGGGCTGTAACCACATTTTCAGGTGTACAGAGCTATTTCCATATTGTTTTGGAGAGCTGGGTGTCAGTCTGCCTTCTCAAAATGGCTCTCTTCATTCTGGGACTGCTCCAGGGTTTCACAATCTACTTGAATCTAGTAGGCTTCCATGAAGGCCACTTTGTCTGTGTATGGATGCCAGATTATTTTTGTTGTGAGGGACATCTTATTTGGCCATTTTGCTGTTATCCCGTACTATATGATGCAATTTGCATTAACAAAGACTAAGATTTTTCAACTCTTTATTTTCAAAAGTTAGGATAACTGAAAAACAAAATATCAGTTATTAGGTAAGTTAGTTTATTTTTTTCTTGTTAGTAGAAGTGCTAATTAAAATGTTAGAATCCTTGACTTTTATTTATATTAGACTTGGGAGACCTGGTGTTGATTGCTATTGCCAACATGAAAGTGGTGCAGCTGTCCTGCAGCTCCAATTCTTGATCAATGAGGTAAGGATTTTCTTTTTACTATTTCTCTCTCTCTCTCTCTCTCTCTCTCTCTCTCTCTCATACTGCATTCATTGATATAATCTTTTTATATTTTGATTCTAAATCAGCGGTTCTCAACCTGTGGGTCGCGACCCCTTTGGGGGTCGAACGACCCTTTCACAGGGGTCGCCTAAATACATCCTGCATATCAGATATTTACATTACGATTCATAACAGTAGCAAAATTACAGTTATGAAGTAGCAACGAAAATAATTTTAAGGTTGGGGGTCACCACAACATGAGGAACTGTATTAAAGGGTTGTGGCATTAAGAAGGTTGAGAACCACTGTTCTAAATGCTTAAAGACATATGTATATAGTATTATTCATGGTCAAAGTTTTCCTAAAAATGGTACTCCAGTGTTTGTCAGTTTATTAAATTTTAAAAGAAAAAGTTGTATATCTTAGAAGATCCTGTTATTGTGATTGTGTAGAATAACTTATAGATTATTTAAATGTTTTTAAAATATTATTGAAATATTTCACTTGCTTCAGTGATCATAAAACTTTTATTCTATACACGCTCTGCCCACCAACTTAAATTTTATAATCCAGCACTAGTTTCATGTTTTGACTTTATCTTCCATGAAATAATCTTTTCACTTATGTACCTATGGGCTCTTTTATATGTGTGTATCTCCATGTGCATATGTTAGTATATGTATGAATTTGTATATATTTATGTATCCATAGCTATTATGACCATTGTTGCCTACCCTACACATATTTTATAAACCTATGGTGATTAGGAACTCCCTAAAACAAAATATTTATAAAGTTCAGAAAGGTTGAAGATCTTCCATTAGTTGAGGGCTACTTAAGTCCATCTCAACTCAGATTTTTATTTTAATGGGAAGATGTTTTATTTAATTTGAATGGCCATCTCATAGCCTTTTATTTTTTAAAATATTTTTAATAGATTTTTTTAAAGAGAGAGTAAGGGAGAGGGAGAGAAACATCAATGTGAGAATAAAAACATTGATTGGCTGCCTCCTGCATGACCCCTACTTGTGATTGAGCCCACAACTCAGGCATGGGCCCAGACCAGAAATGGAACTGGCAACCTTTCAGTGCCCAACCAATTGAGCCACATTGGCCAGGGCATAGACCTTTTTATAAAAAAATTATTTTAATCCTTCAATTACAGTTGAGTTACAATATTATATTACTTTCAGGTGTACAATATAGTGAGTATACATTTCTATAACTTACTAAGGGTTCAATCCAATAAGTCTAGTACCCCTCTGACACCATACATAATTATTATTATATTATTAACTATACTGAGTGGCCAGATTATTATGACCATCTGACGTTTGTAGGCAAATTAGCTATAATTTCACGCTGAAGTTGCTAGAGGGCCAGACCATTATAAATAGGGAAGCAGGTTGTTTACCATGACAGTAGAAGTGATTTTTTTCTGAAGATATAGGTAAACAATATGATTTAACAGCCTTTGAACATGGGATATATTTGAACGTGAGTGGCCAGATTATTATGACCACCTGAAGTTTGTAGGCAAATTAGCTATAATTTCACGCTGAAGTTGCTAGAGGGCCAGACCATTATAAATAGGGAAGCAGGTTGTTTACCACGACAGTAGAAGTGATCTTTTTCTGAAGATATAGGTAAACAATATGATTTAACAGCCTTTGAACATGGGATATATTTGAACGTGAGTGGCCAGATTATTATGACCACCTGACATATACACACACACACACACACACACACACACACACACACACACACACTAGAGGCCTGGTGCATTAATATGTGCATGGGTGGGGTCCCTAGGCCTGGCCGGTGATCAGGGCCGATTGGGGCCAACTCACCCAGTCCCGATTGGGACCGGGCCAATCAGGGCCTGCCATTCGGGGGGAGGGAGAGGGAGAGGGATCTCGAGAGGTTGGCTGGCCAGAGGGGAGGAACTGTGGGATGTGGCCAGCCATAGGAGATTGGCTGTGGGAGCACAATGACCACCAGGTGGGCAGCTCCTGCGTTGAGTGTCTGTCCCCTGGTGGTCAGTGCACATCATAGCTACTGGTTGTTCTGGTCGTTCGGTCGTAATTGTTGCTTAGGCTTTTATATATATAGATATGGCATCTGCCATATTAAGTAGAAAATAGCCTACTGTATTTGAAATAGAATTTATTTGTAATTGGAGGTTTTGTATAAAAAGAATCTCAACATTATTTTTGAAGTACTGAATTCTAGTTGGAAAAATGTTTTCTTTTATTGTAAATTTTTTTTTTATTATAGATGAAACTTCTTGAACTATAAAAACAATCAGATTATACCAAATATACTTTTTAGGAAGAATATATACTTTTCAACCATAGTATATAGGAAATTCTTACAAATGGAGAATTTTATATGACTAGATTGAATTTTAAAACCACGTTGGATATTTGCTTCTTTGCAAAGCTATATAGTACATGTGTGAATAGTAGAAACAAAAAAATTAAGTTTTTTTCAAAGACAATAGAAAAAAGCCTTAAAAGTCACAGTGATGCTTATTATAATTATTTCTTTCTATTGGTATATGCATATTCCTTGAGCTAGTCATCCTGATTAATCCCTATGCAAAGTTACTTGTTTCTTCCACTTCAGCATTCTTATCCTTCCTGATTGAAGTATGTGCAGTTGAACTTCCTTGTATTTCTAGGTTATATAGATACAAATAACTCTTCAAGCAGTGAAAAATTCAGTAAATTAGTTTGCTGTTTTTCCTTCACAAAGATTCCTAAGTTAAATAAATCACTTGCTAAGTTTGTCTTCTTTTTATTCCAGGGTGCTTTGGTCAGTGCAGGTTCAGATGATACACTTCATTTGTGGAACCTTAGACAAAAAAGACCAGCTATTCTTCATTCTCTTAAATTTAATCGAGAACGGTAAGAACGTGTGAGTTAAACAATTTATTAATGTACAATAAAATTATTTCCTGAACAAATTATAGGTTAACTTTTCAAAGATCTTTTTCCATAATCTTAATAGCTAGAAATAACCTAATGTTTATGATTATTTTATAATAGTTAATTTTCATAGAAAATTCATAGGTCATATAGATTTAGTCATCTACTAATGGATAACTTCTAACATTTTTGTTCTCCTTGCTAAAAAACCAGGGTTCTGGAAAGGGATCTGAGGCTGTTAAGCCACAAGGTGTACCTAAAAGTTAAAAAACAAAACCTTTTTCTCTTTTAAATGTCTAAAGAGCACAAAATTGATCCTTCTTTTTTTACTGCTGCATGGTATTCCATGGTGTAAATGGAGCTATGATGGGCACTTAGGCTGTTTCTAGATCTTAGCACTTGTAAATTGTGCTGCTGTGAATAAAGGGGTGCATACATCCTTTCTGATTGGTGTTTCAGGTTTCTTGGGATATATTCCTAGAAGTGGGATCACTGGGTCATCAGGGCCTATCGGGGCTGTCTCACCTAGTCCCGATTGGCAGCCAACTGCCAGGGCTGCCAGCTACCGGATGAGGCCTGCCAGACGGGGCCAAAGGGATTGGGGGAGGGACCGTGGGAGGTTTGCCGGCCAGGGGGAGGGACTGGGGGAGGTTGGCTTGCCATGGGAGGTTGGCTGTGGGAGTGCACTGACCAGGCAGCTCCTGCATTGAGCTTTTGCCCCCTGGTGGTCAGTGCGTGTCGTAGTGACTGGCCAACCGATCGTTCTGGTCGTTCAGTAGTATTGGTTGCTTAGGCTTTTATATATAGAGACTAGAGGCCCGGTGCACAAAAATTTGTGCACTCGGGTCCCTCAGCCCGGCCTGTGCCCTCTCGCAGTCTGGGACCCCTCGGGAGATAACGACCTGCTGGCTTAGGCCCGCTCCCAGGTGGCAGAGGGCAGGCCCAATCCCTAGGTGCAGCCCCTGGTCGGGCTCAGAGCAGGGCTGATTGGTGAGTTGGGGCACCACCCCCTGTCATGCACAGAGCAGGGCGGAT